AGAGAGAGAGAGAGAGAGAGAGAGAGAGAGAGAGAGAGAGAGAGAGAGAGAGAGAGAGAGAGAGAGAGATTGGATGAGATACGCACACACATGGTTAACCAGGGGTGTTATTTTCGACGAATTTTGCACCGAATTGCATTGAAACTGTCATATTGTGCTGATTTTTTTTTTTTTTTTTTTTTTTTTTTTTGATATATATGTGCTTTAGGGTACGTCATGTGTGCAGTTTTGACATGTTTGGATCAATAATGAAAAATTTAACATTTTGTTGAATTCGTTGGACGCTTCATTTTAACTCGAACAGTGTCTTTGTGTTAGGGTTTGATAGTGTTTTTTTGTTTTTTTTTTCGTGTTTTTTAGCTTGTTTCCTTTTTTGATGTTTGCACTATGGTCTCATATTGTTTGTTTTTAAAAATTTTGATGAAATTCGCACCGCAATTGCCAACGAAAACGACGAATATTTGGGCCCCCGTTAATCGTCTCTCAAATCAAATGAATCTTTCGCCAGGGTATAGAAATATACACTACTACATATGTGTGTATGTGTGTCTGTGTGTGTGTGTGTGTGTATGTGTGTGTGAGGATCAAGGAAAATGGATCGGGGAAAGTGGATCGAGGCGGGGTCAGTGGGAAGCGAGATCGGAGTAGACATCGAGATGAGAAAAAAACGGGATTGCGGTAGAGGGAGGTCGAGATTGGGGAGGCGGGAGCAGAAAGAGAGGGAGATCGGGATCAGTGAAGGTGGGAGGATCGAGACCGGGTTAGAAGGAAGTGACATCGAAGCAAACATCGAGATGAGCAAGAAAAAGGATTGGAATAAAGGAAGGTCGAGATTGAGGAAGGCGGGAGGAAAAGGAGGTGCTAGACCAGGGAGCAGAATCGGGATGGAGGGAGGTCGGGATCGGGAAAAGTGGGAGCAGAAAGAGGTGGGAAACCAGGGATCGGGATAAGATCAAGGACACGACCAGAAACAATGAATGAGGAGAATAACATAACGGTAAATAAAAAGAAAAAAAATGTCTAGGTGCACCACGTGTCACACAAGTGAGAGCAGTAACGAGGAGGACGGAGACGAGAAGGAGGAAGAGAAGGTGCAAGATGATGGCGCTGCAAGGAGGTGGAAAAGAAAGAGGTGGAAAAGAAAGAGGTGGAAAAGAAAGAGGTGGAAAAGAAAGAGGTGGAAAAGAAAGAGGAGGAAAAGGAGGAGCGGGAGAAGGAGTGGGAGAGGAGGAGTGGGAGAAGGAGCAGGGAAGGAGCGGGAGCGGGGCTATGGCGTAGGCAGAGCGGGAGAAGGAGAGGGAGGAGGAACGGGGGGAAGATCGGGAGAAGGAGGAGAGGGAGGAGGACCAGGAGAAGGAGGGGGAGCGGGGCTATGGCGGGATCTTTGTCACGTTGTTTGGCGGAGGAGGAGCGAGCAGGGGAGGAGGAGGAGGAGGAATGCGAGAAGCGAGAGGAGCGGAAGGAGGAGTGGGAGGAGCGGGGAAGGAGCGGGAGCGGGGCTATGGCGCTGGAAGAGGAGTGGGAGAAGGAGGGGGAGAAGGAGGGGGAGGAGGAACGGGGGCAAGAGCAAGAGAAGCAGCGGGAGAAGGAGGACCGACAGGAGGAGCGGGAGGAGCATCAGGAGGGGGAGCGGGAGAAGGAGAGGGAGGAGGAGAGGGAGGAGGAGCGGGAGGAGCATCAAGAGGGGGAGCGGGAGAAGGAGAGGGAGGAGGAGAGGGAGGAGGAGCGGGAGAAGGAGCGGGATCGAGGCTATGGCGAGATCTTAATCACGTTGTTTGCGGAGGAGGAGTGGGAGGAGCGGGAGAACGAGCGGGAGGAGTGGGACAAGGAGCGGGAAAAGGAGTGCGAGGGGAAACAGGAAGTGGTTGCATCTGATAGCTCCTCAGTCCATACTCACACCAGGATTTCTTTTTCCGATGCTTTTGCGAAAGGTTCCTTCTCATTTTGCATATTGGCAGGCTGGTTAGTTGATGCACACATGAAACTCTTAAGTTGGCCGTGCTTGGGCACGCGCGCGCACATGTGTGTGTGTGTGGGTGGGTGAGAGAGAGAGAGAGAGAGAGAGAGAGAGAGAGAGAGAGAGAGAGAGAGAGAGAGAGAGAGAGAGAGAGAGAGA